CAGTTTGAGTAAATAAAAATCGAGTATTTTGATAGCGTTCGCAGCAAATTAAAACGCCTGATAATTGATAAATAATCACTAATCAGGGCGAGCACAACGGCTCCAAAATAACAACAAATAACAGAATATAAGATTTAGCTAAAAACAGTAAAGCTTTACCTACCTCGATTTATTTTTCTAAAGCGCTCAGTTATGTAAATTTTCGGCGAATAATCAATATAATTTCTCGACGAAAACCCGGCATGAAAATGCTCGTCGGAAAACTCGGTATTTGTCGTATTTTACGAATCTGCCACGTGACTGGTACAACCACAGTTAATAGACTGAGATGGTTAGGAGAGCCGGCAAACTTCAAAGCAAAATCGCAGCGGGCGGCATTTATGTCGAGGCACAAAGGAAATAAATGTCACGTGCACAGGAAAGGGGACACGCTTCAAAGATTTATATAAGATCGTATTACAGTTTTGCTGATTTTCTCAAATATATCGAAACGTTTCTTAATCCTGGAGCCGAAATCGCCGTTTTAGGATAGTTTTATGTGAGTAAGACGATGGAGAAAAGTTTGGAGGCGATTGAATCTATCCCTGAGCGTGTAGAGGCAGAAATCGAAGGAAATAGGAGCGTACCTGATGAGTTGCCATTTGTTGACGAAGGGGACGATGAAGAATCTAGCTTGCCTTTTCATTTTGAAATCACCATGGCCGTTATGGACGAAGACGAGGAGGCCGTTGAAAACGTTTTTGTTGAAGCTGCTACGGAGATAGTGGGCGAAAAAATGTTTCCATGCGAAAATTGCGAAAAGATTTGTAAATCGAAAGCTGGCCTAACGAGGCATGTAAACGCAAAGCATGGCAGCAAAGCCACAGCAAATGCAAACATTCCTTCGCTTAAGAAAGATGAACTTACGTCTATCGTGAATAAAGTAAAAGCAAAGATAACAAAGGAGGGTTATTGGGACAAAGGAATAACTTCGGATTTGGTAAAAGTAACTTCGAACGATAACCTTTACGAAGCTGTCTCGCCAGTTTATCAACGATTTTGTAAGAAACGAAATCAAGATAATTTTCTCATCGAATTTTATGAGCTTATTCCCAAGTCATCTGCCCTCTTGAAATGCAAAAACCAGCCACTTTGTAGCCTGGTTATGATAAGCATATCTGATCACCTAGTAGCTTTGTTCAAGTCTACCAGTGGAAAGCAGAAGTCTGGCACTTCAAGTGAAAGCACAGAGCATGTAACAGAACTAAGCGAACATGAACGTGGACCCTTATCATATATTGCTGGCTACGTATTGGCGAAATTACAAAAACAGTGCTCGAGTAAACCAAATGAAGAGCTCCAGGTTATGTTACAGAGCATGAAACGTCCCAGTGTTGAGAACACATATATTGACACACGAAGTAGAGGTGGACTAGTGACACCATGTAGTGATCTAGTGCAAATCTTGGAGGTTGTGGAAATAGTATTTAGACAGTTCATTGCCCAGCAAACATCAGTGGTTAGTACTATTCCATGTGATACATTATGTAATGAAGCACTGGAGTCACCATTGCTTAAGTCACTGTGGGAAAACATTTTGCTTGGATGCAAGGACTTGCTGAAACAAACTACCAAGCTTTGTCTTGAAAACATTATTAAACTTTATATAAAGGTTCGCAGTTTTTCCTATGCTAGAGATTACATCAGCAAATTTAAAATTAAGCAAAAAGCAGCAAAGAGCAAAGCACTGCGGAAAGAACTTAAAAGGCATAATGTGGATAAGTAACTCACTGACTGTCTGTTTTGTCCCTGCATGAGGAGGGATTGCAGAATACCAGTCCACTTTTGATAGCTTGTTTAATTAAACAAATAAATGAATTAAAAAATTATTTCAAAACAGTTCACAGTTAAAAATTCAAAGATAAAACTCCAAGAACTGATATGTTGCTGTGATTAAATACAATGTAAGTCTTTGAAGAACGAAGCATTTGAAATTGGCATATTTTCCTCATTTCGCCATGTTTACAAGGAAATAACAGGTGTAATATGTCAAAGTGGACAGGTATTCTGCAATTTAGCTGTCCCGGAGCCTGTAAATAAAAATCCTGCTCCTTCAAGGCATTTCTTTTTCTCACATGTACTTTGCTAGTAATTGTTAACATCTTTAGCTTTCTAGGTAATAATGTAATAAAATGTTCCATTAATTAAGACATAATTTTGTTCAATGATCTCTATTAGACCCTTTATGTCAACAACAAAAGTATGTGCTATCAGGGCTTCAAATTTGTGGTATCCCGATATCCCAGCGATAGCAGATTTTAAATTTGGATACTGGAAATCACCAGCTCAGTATCCCGAGATCGAGATACTGAAAAAGTTTTGTCCACAACTGAAATTTAAAATGGCTTGGAAAAAATCCTTTTCATTGGTATCGCTCGTGAACGAAAAGATGTTTTGCAAATGTGGGATACTAGATTTTCTGGGTGGATACCAGATTTTAAGTCGCTAGTATCCCATTGGATGCTCAGGAAAAATTCAAATTTGTAGCCCTGTACTATTATACAACTATATGCTATATATGTTAATAAATGAGCCCTTTTCATGTAAGACATGACAACAATTAAATGAGGGGTATAATAGTATCTACCAAATGTACAATCATCAGGAGTTGTACTTGAGCATGTAATAACAAGAATCAGCTTTTATCTATTGACACTATTAGCTTCTTACCCAGGTATCTCCTAAATTGCTGAATTTGCTAGATGCTGAGTTTGAAAAATACAAAAGGGAAAGGGGATGTGTGGGTACGAGACTATACATTTACATTCAGAAAATGTGTGTGTTACTTGCTAAGACAGTTCAACAACTTTGACACTGCCAGTTAGAAATGACTTCAATCATCCAAGGTGCAAGGCATAAATATTACTTCAAATTGAACTTGGTACTTTCCGTTTTTCTGGTTTGAACCAGCTTCAACAGCCATGCTCTTCGATTCATCTCTAAAGAGCAGGACTGTTGAAGCTGATGTAGTCTGCTAATACCCTAAGAGTATCATGCCACATGATATCTTTAAGCCCACTTGAATGTCACTAAAAATTTTGAGGATCACAGGTAAGTCCCAACAAAGGTCCTACTGTACTTGAAAAAGACCAGTGGTGAGTTAACTTAATATAAACATATGATCAGACTCTGTCAGTGACTCAGTCATTTCTTCTTCTTTCGCTTTTTTAAAGGCTCATCACTTACAGTGTACCATTTATCCTTGCCATACCGTCCTCCTGTGTTGCCACTTACTGATGGGGCAATGTCTCTTTGAGCAGCAAGGGTTCGGTCATTGTATCGAAATTGTTCTGCTGAAGGATTATCTGATCTTCCTCCTAGAGTCCTTTGGTGGCCAAAGTAGTCTTCAAGAACGTCTTGCAGAAAGCGTTCTGAAAGTACATAGGAAAATTCTATGGAAAGCAGAAACTTTATGGCTTCAATGTGGGAGTGGACTGTAATTTTGAAGCCTTCATAGGTCTGGCGGGACAAAAACATCTTTTCTCTTTCACCTGTAGTATAGGATCCTTTTCTCGTGGCCACACTTTCTTTCCAATCTTCCAGATACTTTAGAAATGTATTCTTCATCCACACCAGATGCTCGTCATCGGGGCTCTCATAAGGCTTGATGCGATCATTTCGCTTCAGTTGATGCTCTCTCAATGACCTGACATTCGAACAATCGAAGAAGTCATTTACCATCTGACAGAACATTGCTGTGCCAACAACACTTGGATCATCACTCTCAAGCAGGCAGGTTGAAACGGTTCTACTCAGCACTTGAACAGAAAGTTTCACCTTCATCTTTGAATAGCCGGTCAACAAAATGTGGTCCAACGTCAGCTTTGGCAGTCGGTGTAAAGCATATTCCTGATCATTGTGGAACATGTCAGCAATATGCCTAAACAGCAAATACTGGCCATTGTTCCACATGTACCTATAAAGGTAAAAATATATTCTAGGACTTGGGCAACTATGGGGACAGGAAACTAAGCCATTAAAATGCAATGCACGACTCTCCTCTTGACACAATTTAGCCACAAGTGCCATTAGTCAGAGTAGAAACTTAAAGTAGGGCACACCGGCACAATTGAAAGTGCTTTGCAATTTAATGGGTTAAAATGAAGCTATACAGTATGGTACTGTACAGTAAGAGATAAGGCCAGAGAACAAGGGCTGGATGCTAAACAGCCCTCGGAACTTTGTGTTCTCTATATAGCATACATCCCAACATTCAATTACATAGGCTTTATAACTGTATCTCATGATTGAGGAGGTTTCCTAACAAGGTTTTCCCCTTTATTTCTTGACCACTGTAATAAGTATTCAAGGACAGCTACTGTATGTGGTAATATATATAGTACACATCCTGTGGTACACCAAAGAAAACTAACTCAATCATAAAATAAACAGTTAAAAGCAGACCAGTTTCATGCAAATAATGAACAACAATTTCAAATATATTAAACTTTACATACCGACTATGTGATCCATATCCTGAATTGTAGAGACAATTTCGAGTGATTTTGATAAGATGAGGTACATCAGCAAATAAGTATATCATCCGAGTCAGAACGAAAAGATTGGGTGTCTTGTACACTAGACCACAGGGTAGTGTGCCACCAAGCTTGGCATGGAGTGCAAAGAATTTCCGGTTAGGGGAAGCACCATCATTGACAGCAGCAATTACCCACAACTTTACTGTGGTTTCAAGCACTCCAACCACTTTCCAAAACAAAGGAAGTAGTTGAAATTATGTAACATTGCCAGTAAAGTAGTAGGCAACTACATGCTTCAAATTGGTGCAAAGCCCCCTAACCAAAAATGCCAGTGCATGGGATGCAATTGGGGTTTCTTCGTCAGTATTGGCAAAGGTGGTTAAAGGATTGCCAAGATCTATGAAGCCAATCAGCTCACCAGACGTCTTGTCAAACACAAGGTTCTCTCTGATCTTCATTTCATCCATGATCACTGCCACATACTTATGAATCCCAGAAAACTTCGATGCTTTTTCTTTGAGCAGGGGCACTCGATTGGCGTGTACTGCGATTTTGCTGTGCTACAATTTTCCTTTGTAGTTGTTTGCATGGTTCACAGATAACGTCACCTTGGTCTTGTCTGCGAACTAAAACCTGACAAGTAACACAGCGAAAAACAGCTAAAACCCCAACATTTGTATCCATTTCTACACTCTTTGGGATAGAATGCCATACAACATCAGATGGGTGGAGTGGATGGGTTTGGTCATCAGGATCTTTTGCAATGGTGGTGAGGTATTCAGCGTGTTGGTGTAGTCCTTCGCATATCAAGACGTCATCGTCTTGAAGAGATTGCAAGAGTTCAACAACTCCAGCAGAGGTGATTCGACGTCGATGAGCAGTGTAGATACTGTGGTCGTCAGGCAGTAGCCAGTTAAAAATATGCAACGAAAATTGCAAACATTGATCGACGTGTAAAACAAACTTCGGTAGCGAATAGTTATTGTCCCAAAGTTCCATCCCTATTTCAAGGTCGTTGCACTTTTTGATAACCCATGGAGGTGCTATACTTTCTTTCACCCGTGGAACAAGCTCTTCAAAACTTTCGTTGACAACATTTACAGATTTACCATCGATATCACCAGGCGGCAAAGCAGATGTCGAAGGAGTCTCGCCAGAAATTTCTCGTACTAGAGAGCGTCGGCTACTTGGCTTCGAGTCGTGGCTTTTCGACGGCAAATTTTCTGTGGGAACAGCACCCGTTTCCAAAGTTTTTCTTTTGACATCTACAAACGAAATAAACATAAATTTGTTGCACGCCATTACCCATGATCAATGTTTATGTATGTATGTAGACAAGTGTCTAATTACCATATATTTGCGCAAAAACAAGGAAAATAAAGAGATACTTACGTTGATAAATCAACTCGGGTTTGAAATGCAGCTCACATAAGAATATATTATTTTCATTTATTCTTTTTTTCAACTCTGGCGTGTTTTCTTGTGTCCTTAGAATTACTCTTACCCATTCTTTCCGAGCATCAGACTTCAACTTTACGGTTTCGTCTCCGTCGCCTCGAGCAGGAAAAGGTATTTTGAACAGCGAAAGATTACTCCTTCGACTTGTTCCACAGCCATACAAAGCGCAGTTGGCACCTGGCATTGCATGCCAAAGGTAAAAAATGTAAAATTCCCAAATTCAGAAAGATTTTGTTAATACTTTTCGAAAAGAAACTAGTCGCCGCAATACAATACTCTATTGTGTTTTGTCGCCATGTGTACTATGCCGATCACGTGACGGAAATAACTGGAAACCGAACATAATTAGTAAACCCCGCCCACTCTCCTAACCATCTCAGTCTATTAACTGTGTTTAAACTTAGGAAGTACACTGTACTTCCGACGGAAGTTCACAAGGAAATATCAAGTAGGTTCCAGTTCACTTCGCGGTCAAATCCAAGATGATAGCCAATGTAAAATTTTCATTGAAACGAATATAACTGTAGCGTTACCTTCAGACAAACTGCCTATCTTTTTCTTGAAGCCAAAGTCAAACCCGCGTGTTTATATCATAATTGACTGTTTGAGCGCTCTTCGCATGCGTAAAAAGACCGAGACTGGCCTTCAAGTTTGGCTTCAAATTTTCGGTTGGAAATTTCTCAATGGAAATTTCAGGATTTAGCTGCTAGTTCACTTTTCGACGGCCGCCACCCTTGCTTTTCTCTGAACATTACGTCATTATTAAAATAAAAATGATAAAATGATTGAAGTTAGTCTAATGGGAATCACAATGAACCTTTCGAAAGTTTTAACTTGCTATATTAGTAATATTTATGTCACTGTTTTACAAGTCGAAGATTTTTAAACATTTAAAAGGCCGTTAATTAAACGTTAATAGGTGAAAAACATACTAAACAAAAGCTTAAGAATTGGTTACCAACATACGTACTTTTTAAATTCGAACACTATGATGTGGGATTTAAGAAGAACTGGCAAGATAAACACTAAGAATTACTAAAAAAATACTTTTACTGCTTGTGTAAAAAATATCCCCGAATATTCCACGCGCGAGACGCCAGAATGTTGTCTGAATAATTCCGCTTTTGAGCCTCAGGGGAAACTGTAGGAGCCTCCTTAAAAACAACAAGAACATTTCAGAATCAATGATGCCTCACATTTTTAATGAATTAATAGGAAGTTTGATCGTTGTGTTCATTATTAATACTTAATTATTGTGTTCATTGTTCATTGTTCATTGTTAATTGATATTTCGTACCCAATACTGTCGATAAAATAACAAAATCGAGGAAAATATCAGTAGCAGTCCACACTCGCGTCTTCGCTATGGCCACAGTTGTGACTTGTCCATCCTCGATTTGGGCAATTCCAAACATAGGACTCGTATCCGTTACATCCTAAGTCATCCAACAAGATTGTACCAGTTCCTTGACCATAAACGGCACCATGGTGAGCATTAGTGGCACCACTGTATCCCAACTGACGACAAATCACATTACCATCTGCTATTTCTAAAGAATCATCACATACTGTTCCCCAACCGTACGATGGATGGTAGACTTCTACTCGACCTCTGTTTGTATCACTTGTGCCAACCAATCTAATGCCGTACGACGAACCTAAAATATTGAAATGTCGTGTCCTCAATAAAATTTATGCCTTCTTTAGATAAGTATCTTTAGCATACGTGACATTTGACGTCACTTGACGTGGACTAGCGTGTTTATAAAGTTGAATTTATGCCAGAAATGGTTTTTGGAAGGCAAACTTTGTCCTTCTAAATACATATATTTGGCGATATAAATTTGTTCAACAGGCAATGAGTACTCCTTCAGAGGGAAGCATAGTATACGAATACGAATTGAAAATAGCTGGTTATATATACAGAGCGTATCAAAAACTTTGGCATGTTTTCCTGCACTGGGTATTAAATTGATAATCCGGCTTTTAATTGATGAAAATGGCCAAATGCGGCTGTATATTAAGGACGCGAACACAATAAAAGGAAAGATTATGGGAACTTTAATTTATGAAAGGAAATAAAAATTAGAAACTTTATATTGCTTGGTTATATACAGGGTGTCCCCCAAAAAAGTGACACTATAGAAATTATCTCATTGTTCTTAAGCCGCTCTTAAGCCCGTTCTCCACTAGGCGAATTTGTTCGCGCGAACAGTCAAAAAGTAGGAACTGATTCAACTTTTTCGCGGCGAATGTTTTCGGTGACCAATCACATTGCCAAAATTTGTTTTTCACTTCGCGTCGCGCGAAAAAAATCGCCTAGTGGAGAACGGACTTTAAACGCGCGTGATTACACGCCTGGGAATTTAATGAACTTGTATTTACATTTAAGCATTTTAAAACGTTTTCGCTTTGTCCAAATATTTTAACGCCCAAGTCAAGCCAAACGATTACACTAATAAACGATTTGCTTTTTTATTTTAAATTCCAGAAGCAGAAGTTTATGCACCTGTGGGATCAACTTAGTGCTAGGGCATTCAAATTATAACAATAGGATAATTTCTATAGTGTACTTTTCTTTGGGACACCCTGTACTGTCGTCGCTTGTGATATACTAGAGACCTGACGATGGAAGACGACAACGTGACGACGACGGCTATTCATACAATGAGATTCATAATATTTAAGAAAAAGAAAAAAAATTAATATCCCACAGGAGTTAACATCCACGGTCTGTTTGAAAAATTACAGACTTTTACGGGTTATAAATTCATGTCTCGCTGTTTATGAATGCTGAGCCTCTATCCTTGCCGTGACTCTAACCCTAACCGCTGACCCTAACCCATGAAAAGCGAGACATGAATCTATACCCTTCTTACGTCTCGGATAAAACGCCTGCATTTCAAGACTCGAGAAGTGATACTCAGTAAATTAGTTCAGTACTACGGTAGAATTTTCTCAACAATAAACCCACTATTTCAAGCTAAGCAAACATGCAGTATTAAATTGACAGATCAATAATAGTGTACAAACTTTCTGTACAATCGTTCATCTAAATTATTTTATTCTGACCGTCGTCGTCGCGTTGCCGTCCTACATCGTAAGGAGTTTACGATCTACGACGCGGCCGGCCCGCTGACGCGCTTTCAAAACAAATAAATTTGGTGCTTCCACAAACAATAATATTATATGTTTTATCGCCATGCAAACCTACAAAGAACTTACAAAGAAATTTGTCATTCAAGACAAAAACTGTGAATAATTCGTGGTCCCACGGGTATTGTCAACCGCGTTGTCATTCTCAACACAACGTTAAACAAGCATTATTACGTCTTTCAGTCAACGTGAAAGCTTAATGCGACTCAAGAGGTGATACAATGGTTTTGTCAGCAAGGCGAGGGTTTCTGCATGCATGTATTTTCTAGTTATTACTATATTTAATGATAAAAAAGTTCTTTAACCGTTCAGACATTCGTAGAGTGAAGACGTGTAAAAAAGCATAACCGTTCAGGCATTCGTAGAGTGCAGACGTGTAATTTTCGCTCCGCTAACTCAATCAAAATGTCTTTAACCGAACAAAGCCTTCTACATAATCTGTCTGTAAACGATAAAGGAAAGCTGATTTGGAATTCCTCATATGATCTTCTACGAAAATTTGTCGGCGAAGTACTAAATCTACCGAATGGAGAATGGTCATCTCCTGGTGGCGATGAAAAATTGTTTGAAAGCGAAGGCGTCTCCATCAGATGGTATGCTAAAGCTAAAACAATCACATTGAATGGAAGGTGGCAAAGCAAGACTGAAGAAAAACTGTACTCGATAGCCTCAATTTCTAAGGAATTAGCTGAAGTAAACAAGCAGAATAGTGACACAGACTGTGCTCTGGGGAACTCTTTTATATCTCTGGCCGAAGCAACCAGTAAACCCGATCGTAACGACAAGTCTCTGGAAGAACATATGCAATCTTTGAAAATCGGCTGCAGGTTTTATCTAAAGAATTTGCTGCGAATATGTCAACTCTAAACAACATATTGTGGGAACATTCAAACGAGCTAAAGCAAATTAATAATCCACATCCAGATAGTGAAATAACAGCTTTAAAACGAGAAAATCTTGAACTCAAAAACCAAAATAAAGACTTAACCGATCGAATAAGTAATTTGAACTATATCCTTGCTGATTTGCAAGGGAAAGCTAAAGTAACTGAAGACGAAAAAGCCAGCCTAATTACATCTGTTCGGCTATTGTGTAATGATTTGGGAATCAATCAACCATCAAACGGCAATTACCCTTTACAAGACAATCGACCTCCCGAGAATAATACCGAAGCGGAGCGTTACCAATTTCGCAATAACATTTTAACCCAAAATAGCCTCAGTGCACAAAGCACGGAAGAAATATATTGTTCAAAGGAAAAATCTTTGGATCATGATCGAGTTGCAGGACCGGCTGTCGCAACCAATAACCGTTTCTCCCATCTGAGGGTAGAGGAAGCCAATAATGTTCCTGCTGAAATAAATGAAATAAATCAAAATCTAAATGGTCATCGACAGAAGGAAAATCAATCTGAAAACAAACCAAATATCGCCATAATTGGAGACTCAATGATTAAGAACATTAACCCTCGTAAACTATCAAGAGTAACGGGTTAATAAATTCACGTTTCCAGGCAAAAGAGCGGAGGAAATTGCATCTGAAGTAAAGAATATAAATGTTCAGTTACATCCAACCCATGTTATTATACACGCCGGGACGAACAATCTACCAACCGACACAGGTGATCAGTGTATAAAGAACATCAAAGGTTTGTGTTCTAGTATTAAAGAAAAGTTTCCTAAGGCTAAATTAGGTGTTTCAAGTATCATTTTAAGGAAAGATATTGAAGTGTCGAGTAAAATGTATCAAGTAAATGAGGATCTAAAACGTTTATGTAATGAATCTGGCTTTTCTTTTATTGACAATTCAATCAGATGAATCTGGACTTAATAATAGTAAATTACATCTGAGCGCAAAAGGATCTGCTTTACTAGCTACACGCTTTATTAAATTTTTAAACCCTGATAAACAATTAAATAAACAACCAATAGGAAACCATGTATCTTCTGGAAATTTTCTCAGAGATCTGTTAAATCTGGTTGCCTTATCTCAGACATCTATGTCTCAAAGAAGACGAACTCGTTAAATGATAATTATCCTAATACTAATACTAATGTATTAATTGTATCCTCTAAGTATAATTGCTAAATCAAAAGGATTTCGAATCGCCAGTTTGAATGTAAATAGTCTTTTGAAACATATCGGTGAGATTCGAGTGATTTTAGAAAAAAATCCGCTGGATGTCCTAGCTATAAATGAGTCTAAAATAGATGACTCTATTTCTGACAATGAGATCAAAATACCAGAATACGCTCTGTGCTGGAAGGATCGTAATAGAAATGGTGGAGGTGCCGTGTTGTATATCAGAGACTGCTTTTCATTTATAGAGCGGAAAGAACTGATTCCTAATCAGCTTGAGATGGTGTGCATTGAAATCTGCCATAAATACGGTAAACCTTTCTCAATTAGTGCTTGGTACAGGCCACCGAATTCAAACATAGATCTATTTGACAGTTTTGAAATGTTTATTAATAAATGTGAGATAGAAAGTAAAGAGCTACTTGTTCTGGGAGATCTAAATTGTGATTGGAATAAGACGCCGTTGGACAGTCATACGCAAAAACTAAAAAATATATGTGTGTTGTATCAACTTAGTCAAATTATTGATGAGCCAACGAGGGTGACTAAGTCTTCAGCAACACAGATTGACCTAATTCTGGCCAATAATCCCGAAAGCATCTCCAATCATGGAGTAATTGAAATTGGGATTTCAGATTATAGTTTGATTTATGCTGTTAAAAAACTAGTTCCTTTAAAAGGACAGAGAACATGTAGTGAAGTTCGAAATTTTAAAAACTTTAATGAAAGGTTATTTTTGCACGATTTGTCTAGGATCCCCTGGGATTATGTCAATCAATTTAATAACCCGAATGATAGCTGGCAAGTCTGGAAGTCCTTCTTTATAGAAGTACTTGATAGACACGCGCCAATTCTGAGGAAGTATATTAAAACTAAAAGAATTCCATGGCTAAATGCCTCTATTAAGCAACTAATGAGGCAAAGAGATTTTCATAAAATGATGTTTAAAAAAATCAATTCTGAGATGCATTGGGAAAAGTTTAAAACCATTAGAAATAAAATTAATGCTGAAATCTTAAAGCTAACTATTTCAATACTAAAATATCTGAGTGTCTTCAGCATAAGAACGTAAAAAAAAGTTGGTCATTGATTAATAACCTACTTGGGGAAAAATTCAAAATCAACCATTATCAATGAAATTAGGACTGATAGTAATGTAATTCTTCTGTAATGCTAGCTAAAGTTCTTAAATTATCTGCAGATATAATTGCACCATCTCTGACAACAATCTTTAACCAATCACTACATACTGGCATATTTGTCAATGACTGGAAATTAGCACGTGTGCAACCGATTTATAAATCTGAGGATAGAAGCAAATGTGAGAATTACCGTCCAATTTCTATTCTCCCAGTTGTAAGTAAAATCTTTGAAAAAGAAATTTTTCAGCAATTATATAGTTATTTATCTGCAAACTCACTAATTTCAAAGTTTCAATCTGGATTTCGACCTAAACATTCATCCCTAACCTTACTTTTCCAGATGTGCGATGAATGGCTAAAAAATATGGATGAGGGTAAAATAACTGGCCTTGTTTCTCTGGATATCGAGAAAGCATTTGATTCAATTAACCATCAAATTTTAATGTCAAAAATGAAAGACCAGTTTGGTATTCGTGAAAATGAATTGAATTGGTTTACCTCTTACTTGACTGATCGTCAGCAAGTTTGCTGTGTAAATGACCATATATCGCAGGGGTCCATTCTCGGTCCTTTGATGTTTTTATTATATATTAATGATTTGCCGCAATATTTAAAATTTGCAACTCCGCACTGTAAATTTCAGGGAGTTAATTTAACTCCAGTGGTATTATCTTGAACCTAATTTTACTCCACATTTGGAGTTAATTGAGGTACAGTATAACTCCACCGGAGTTAAATTAACTCCCCGAAATTAACAGTGCGGGTTTATATGCTGATGATACGCAGATATTTGCCTGGTCTGATAATTATGATGATCTGGTGGAACTATTAAACTCTGATTTGAAAAATATTAGTAGATGGCTCTCGGATAACAAACTGCAACACCATACAACTAAAACTAAGCTAATGTTCATAGGCTCCCTGTACAATATTAAAAATAAAATTGGAGATAAATTAGTGACCTTTAAGAATAAACCATTAAAACGGTACAGATCTTTTAAATGTTTAGGAGTTGAGTTGGATGAACACCTTAGTTGGGAAGTTCACATTAATGCAATCTGTAAAAAGGTTGGTGCAGGGATAGGAGTTTTAAAACGAACAAAACCATTCGTCCCCAATGAAACCCTGCACATCATCTATAAGGCGTTAATTCTGCCATACTTTGATTATTGTTCCCCTTTGTGGGATAATTGCGGAATTGTACTAAAAGAAAAACTACAGAGATTCTAAAATAGAGCTGCAAGGGTGTTGACGGGAGTAAGTTATGATACCAACTCCTCTGAGCTCCTTGAACGGCTTAACTGGAAAAATCTTGAAAACAGATTTAGATTTAATAAAGTGGTTCTGGTATTCAACATTCTTAATAATGGTACTGCCCCCTGTCTTCGAGAATTCTTTTCTGCACGAAGCAATAATGATAATGACTATCATCTCAGAAATTATGATACAGATCTCTCACTTCCAAAACCTAAGAAAGAATTTCTTAAAAGAAGCTTTAGGTATAGTGGAGCTGTACTGTGGAATAGTCTTTCTGCTGAGGCTAAGTCTGCTCATTCGATTTATTGTTTCAAAAGACTTATTTGAATCTTGTTTTTAATTGTTATTCCATTTGTAACTACACATTATGTTCTGGGTAATATTCTTTTTGGGTCTGTGGGTTAATTAGTTTTTTCTTCATTTTTATATATTTGTAAATAGCTAAATAGACGCCCCTCATGAAAGCTTTGATCCACCTCACTATGACAGGATGTACACCGAGATTTTCCAGCTCGCATATTATGACATTATGACAACAAGATCGAACCCCTTTTTGAAGTCTGCAAAAAACAATCTAGCAGAGCAGGGACCGTTCTCAAGGGCAGACAAAATGATGTGCAGGAGGTATGTTAGAGCGTGAGTCGTAGATTCCTTGGTAACGCAAATTTACTGCTTCGTGTCTAATTTACTCTCAATTTGGGCAAATAATTTTGTCAAGCTGAATCCCTCCATGACCTTAGAAATCTGAGACGTTAGTGATATGGGTCTTAGATCGTCCTCCACGCTTTCAGGTAGTGGAACTTTGGGGATTGGAACTACAATAGAGTGGGGCAAGTTCATATGCAAAGACCTTCAAAATTTTGTTAGGTATTATATCTAGACCTGGGCTTTTATTAATTCTAATTTTGCGGAGTTCATTGTACACTTAATTAGCGTCAATGAGGTGTTCACTTGGTACGTTGAAATCCAATTGTCCTTCCCCGCATGTTAAAGGACCAAAATGTGATGTAAGACCGGAAAGGAAACTGTTAAATACTTCAGCCAAGTCATGGCAATTAGGAACATCATTAAAAAGTAGTTGATTGTACCAACAGCTTTTAGAAGATATACCACCCAACGACTTGATTTCCTTCCACCATCTTGAGGGATTAGAAGTTTTCAGTTTTTCAACTGATTGGGCATACTACTTAAATCGTGCTGGTTTGATTGATTGCTGGACTTGATTTCGCCAGAGTTTATATGCATCGGAATTTTTCCCATAGTAATGGAGAGCTTTTTGGCGTTTGATAATTAATTCTTTGATTGATGACGTCAGCCATGGTTTGTCACATTTGGTTGCTTTAGTTTTTCTCAAAGGGAGTAAAATATTAATCATATCACTCATTGTGTCATTAAATTTTCCATATTTAGCTTCAAACGCATTTGTAGTAAAATATCCAACCAATCAAACGAGATTATCCAGCGGCCAAAAGGTCGTAATGAGCTTTCCCTAAGGTCCCGCTTCCATACCTTGTCTTTATCAGGTTTTAAAGGGGGATTTAGGGATTTTATACAAACCATGTTATGATCACTGTTTCCTAGAGGTGGAAATTTGATAGGTTCGTATAGGCTGTCGTTGCGGTTAGTTAGGCACCAGTCTAAGGTTACATTATCTCTAGTCTAAGGTTAGGCTAGTAATAAAGCAAACGCGATGTATCAATCTTCTAATAAAAAGTGACGTTCTGACGTCTTGACAAACAACAGCAGTTTATGACTCCTGAAACAACCTCGATGAAACAACTAGTAAAAACTGTAATATTATACTGTGAGAATTATTGAACACCCACTGCCTGGAAATAACTTATTAAATAACTAGTAAATTTCGTGTATTTGTACTGTAATTAGTCGGTGGGGCCACATGTGATGCCCACCGACTCTAATTTTGCCCTTTGGTACGCCACAAAATGACAAATTACGTCATTTTAATTACGTAATTCTTACAAAATCAAAATCAAAATTGGCGACCGTGGAATAGCGTGCAAAAGTTCGCTATTGACTATTTGGTCCAGTCGTGTCTTTTCTTTTGGGATTTTTGAAAGAAATATATTTTGAATTCACTAAAAGTTATCACGACGTTTCACTGTTATTTATCGAGCTGGAGGGAAGTGGAAAATTTGTACATAATTTTATTTATTAGATGGACAATGGTGTTTTACTGGAAACTAAAACACTCGTAGAACTCATACGTCACTACATCCGGGACCAGGTGCGCGTATTTTCCGTATTTCACCCCTGCTCAGGGCCGCCCAGAGGGGGGAGGGCAGGGGGGGCAAATTGCCCCGGGCCCCGAGTTGCTGGGGGCCCCTGAAAAATTTTTGTTGGGCCCCAGCCTTTTTTGTGTGTTAAATATTTCCGCGCAAAGGACAAGATATCTGTTTTCTTGGGCTAAGTACCGAATTTTGGCATAAAAAATGAGATAAAGTCCCTCGAAAGCAATTGCAACGTACTCGTCCGGAAAAATTTTGTACTCCGGAAAAAATTTTTTACCCCTAAAATGGTACACTGACCGAAAATTTTTTGGCGACGGGGGGGGAGGTTGTTCTCCGGAAAAAAATTTTCCGGGAAAGTTTTTTTAGATAGGGGCCCCTAAAAAAAAATTGCCCCGGGCCCCCGCCAACCTCTGGGCGGCCCTGCCCCTGCTAGTGACATACGAAGTTCGAAAATTTCCAGCCATTTTTATTGTTGTTGTTTTTGAAAATACAAATGGTCTTTCGTTCGTATTTAAAACGAAATTAACGTTGGAAATAAAACGAAAACATTTAAAAGACATCTTGAGATAAGTAAAATTTACTCTAGTTTTATGTTTGCGCTATAATTTTAAATAATATCGCTTTTATACTGGTCTTTCGCGTGCTTTTTTACATGTCGTCTTTGTGTGTATTTTTGTCACTCTAAGTAAGTCCATATAATAAACAGAACATTAAACGGTTGCGAGAAGATATGGATTTATGTTCTCGTGTCAAAAACAATTAATATCTCACTCGTTCGCTGCGCTCACACGTGAGATATTGTTTTTGCCACTCGAGCATAAAATCCATATCTCCTCGCAACCGTCTAATATCCTCTATATATTTAAAGTTTGTATCACAGAATAAGGACCTATAGTTTGTATCGCGCGGCGGAGATATCGGGCGCGCAAATTTTGATGCTTTCTATATATTTACTATTGAATTTTCGAAATCTCCGGCGCGCAATTTCCAAACTTTCCAGTCAGTAATAATATTTTGGTCTTTTGGATCTACATAAATTAAACTTAAAGTCAGACATCGCCTGCTTCTTTCGAGTCTACATCATATTCCTATTAAATAGCATTCAGTGAAGAATTAAGGTTCGTTGGGACAAAATGTATTATCGAAAGCTGAAAAGGAGGAACTCAATTTCCTGTTATCGTGTGGAAGTAACTTGGAATCTTTCTTGGCACAATAACATATATTATCATTCCATGCAGTTCGCCGCCTTTATATTGCACACTGGTATGTAGATTAGTAGATATGACTAAAGCGTTATTGCTATACTGCCTATACATTGTGTAGGCACAGGTCATTAGCTAGTCGCTTGGTAATCATGCGAAATACCTCTCCTCTCACGACGCATTATGTACTATTTAAAGCACTTGTAGTCGTGCTTTATCTTATATGAGTTCATTGGCGAAGTAATTTTTAAAATAAACTTTGTCTAAATCGAGAAAATCAAAGCTAAAGTTTATGTAAATTAACATGATTTTTTATCACATATAAAGATACGACACGCTTATGATTTTTCTTTGTGTTTTCCTCCTGAATTATTAATGAGTTTTTTAATGTATTAGACAATAGACGTTATAATGCGTCTAGTTTCGAGGCGAAGAATATTCTTGCCTTTCAGCCTTCGATACACTAACTAGCTAGCTATTAAAGTTCTAGTCTAGGACCTGTATATGAGTTTGTATGCATTTCATTTAGGACAGATAATCTCAACTGTTTTAGGGCAAGTTGACCATGACGGTCGACATGGTAACGCTTCCCGAACCCCAATCCGGGGCGAAACGTCCGAAACTGATCACACCCAAAAGCGATGCTCTCTCCATAGTGCTATCTACCAAACCATAACAGCTTTGGCTATTCTGAGGTGCTTATATGGTTGAGAGATGGTGCTTTTAGGGGTGGTCATTGGTAAGTGTGAAATGCCTAGCACTGATATTTCACAAGAAAATGACCATGCAATACTCATAGTCAAACGTCAATTTGTGACTTACAAATTCAGATAAACAGCAGTGGACCTACATTACCTTTTTTCCTAAATCATTTTTATAGAAACATAATTGGTACTTTTTTAAGTATATTATCGATCACTGCTTTGCTGTAAAACAGTTAATACTTTGTGACCGAAATAATAATTTGAAATGTACCTACCTCCTGCAAATGGACGTATTTGGCCAAATTCTCCACTTTACTCCGCTGTTTATCGCCAATCTCGTTGAAATCCATCCAAATATGTACGGCAGCTCAGACGTAATGGTATCAAGCACATGTTAAACAAGTTTTAAATAGGTTTCAAGCAGATCCTAACTATTTAACCATCGACAAGGTAAAACCACAACTTTGCCCAATTCGGCGCCATTTTGTCATCCCATGTCGGTTATCAACAATTCGGCCTTGTTATTCTTTCATCCAATCCATTTTGATTCCACTAATAACAAATTGAACCATTTGTTAAGGGTATCAAAATAAATATGTAAACAAAATATAAAAAATGCAGCATTTTATCACCCTGTAAAATGTTGCTTACGAGTCTTTCAAAACATTCCGTACAAATCTCGCGTAGCAAAGCAACAGGGGGAGGGGGGAGACTTTGAAGATTAAAGCAAAGCAAAAGCGCGCAGTAATAGTAGTGTGGTAAGACCAACAATCAACATTTAATTTATAGTATGACATATTCATATTGTCGCTACAAGAAATAAAACAAACGTTACTATGATTTTATTTAGATTTTAGTCCATTTCACCCAGCCTTCTTCTATCTTCGTGAAAATATTCACATGGCACACACCCTGTCACGGCCCTGTTGCTTTGCCACGCGAGATTTGTACGGAATGTTTTGAAAGACTCGTAAGCAACATTTTACAGGGTGATAAAATACTGCATTTTTTATATTTTGTTTACATATTTATTTTGATACCCTTAACAAAGGGTTCAATTTGTTATTAGTGGAATCAAAATGGCTTGGATGGAAGAATAACAAGGCCGAATTGTTGACAACCGACATGGGATGACAAAATGGCGCCGAATTGGATAAAGTTGTGGTTTTACCTTGTCGATGGTTAAACAGCTGGGATCTGCTTGACACCTATTTAAAACTTGTTTAAAAAGTGCTTGATACCATTATGTCTGAGCTGCCGTACATATTTGGAAGGATTTCAACGAGATTGGCAATAAACAGCGGAGTAAAGTGGAGAATTTGGCCTAATATGTCCATTTGCAGGAGGTAGGTACATTTCAAATTATTATTTCGGTCACAAAGTATTAACTATTTTACAGCAAAGCAGTGATAATATACTTAAATAAGTACAAATTATGTTTCTATAAAAAGATTTAGGAGAAAAGGTAATGTAGGTCCACTGCTGTTTATCTGAATTTGTAAGTTACAAATTGACGTTTGACTATGAGTATTGCATGGTCATTTTCTTGTGAAATATCAGTGCCAGGCATTTCACACTTACCAATAACGACCCCTAAAAGCACCATCTCTGAACCATATAAGCACCTCAGAATAGCCAAAGCTTTTATGGTTTGGTAGATAGCACTATATGGCGAGAGCGTCGTTTTTGGGTGTGGTCAGTTTCGGACGTTTCGCCCCGGATTGGGGGTTCGGGCAGTGTTACCATGTCGACCGTCATGGTCAACTTGCCCTAAAACAGTTGTTGAGATTATCTGTCCTAAATGAAATGCATACAAACTCATATACAGGTCCTAGACTATTCGGTTTTAACTTGGTCTGTTGGTAACATAACACCAGCCGATCTGTGTAATGAACAGGATAAACGCTTATAATTTTAACACATACGATACACTATACTGTATACTCGGGTGTAGCCAGCCCGACGATCAGTCCCGCCATATGCAAATATTGCCATGTTTATAAACTATCAACACAATTAATTTCTAAATAAATTAATAATGATGAGTTGAAATTTGCATAGCGGGACCAAATCGCTGGTTACGCCACTGTGTACATGTTTGTACTTGTTTTAACTATTAGCGCTAACTTCCAGGCAAACTGCAACTTCAAGAATCAATATTTTCGGAAAATCAAACATGCTCTACTTTAATTAGTAGTATTATACTTCTACTTAAAGTTGCATACTTCCATCGCCCCAGCGACTTACGCAACCTCGTACCCAGGATCTTTCTTTGGGAAAGACCCTGGCTGCGGCTGCTCACGTGCCTCATCAAAAATTTAGCGCCTGAGGGGGTGTGGGGAAAGTATCAAATTACATAAACATGCTTCCAGTGGAACATTCGTTAAAAACATAAATTTTGCGAATTATTACGTTCAAAATACTTGCTAATTTTTGTTTATTTTCTTTGCTTTGAATTTACAAGAACATTCTTACATTCTTACTTACAGTCAAGTCAAGAAACAAAGCAAATCGTTACTCGCAGTACGTGCTCTCTCGTGTTGTTATTCAATGCATGCTCTCTTCACAATCGAGCGCGGTTATAACAAACCTTTTAATATTGTAATGTTTTTAAAATACGCCATTACATTCGTCCTTTCTTGTAAACGTTGATACGCTTTGTACCGATTCACTTGTTACTACGCGTCTTGTTTATAAGATTTTTAAAAGAAACAGTATTGTCTAGGACTGACCCAATATTAGCAAATGTAAACATTTGATAATAGCCGAACAGAGAAATGTCTATAAGTATAGAGGAAATTTCAGTCATTGGTTTATCTGGATTTAGTACATAATTCGTATTCGGTAATTATAGTAAGACTTTAGCCTTTTTTTGGTCTCTATTAATCATTATATTGTGTTAACATACTATAATCTATATCACAAATTTACAGTGTCAGATGCGCACAGACCGTCATTGGCATCATACGAATAGACATAAATTTTCGAGTTTTCTAGCCTACTTCTACTAACATTTTTAAAGTTTTCATTGTGAATCACCTGTTTATCTCTAATTCATTAATCATTTACTACTTATATTTATTTGATAGTGTCATATACTGAATAATGCGTTTACACACAAGCAATCCTGGATATGATATAGACGATGCAAGCTGTCCATTAAAAAATAACGGTATTCTATTTCACAAAGTCAAAGCAAAAATTTAAATCTCACTTGTATTATTAAGAATGCATATACAGCAAAAAATTAAAGCTTATTCATGTCAAAACGAAAGCTGTTTACAAAATTTATAAAGGTGGTGAACACTACTAAAAACAGTGCTCATTGAAAGACATGTATAATATAGTGACATATAATTTGTCGTTTGACTTATCTTTGGTGTATGATTTTAATACCGTAGATTTTCAACAGACAGCTATACTTTGACATATACCATGATCGTTGGTTTCAGCAATGCCAAGGGCCAATTTTATAGTGTTTTGACGGGCTTTAAATTTTTTTGGTAAGGCCTTAATATCGATCAACAATCTGGATACAGTTGGCGATATTTCGGAAATCAAAAGATCTCGCTATTTCGTTGCAATTTCACATGCATCTCATCAATAAATAAATTCTTTTGGTCCGAGTATCAGGATAGACATTAATACTAAATAAATAACAACCACACTGTTCGGTCTAGAGATCTATATTTTCTTGTAGGTTTAATATCGCTACGCTACACAAGCGGCAAGCGTGCTTTCTTTGGCAAGTCTGTAAATTGAATATTGGAATCTGATCCAACTTGCTTGAATTGTAACTCGACACCAGATTATAGAGTACAGCGTCACGATATAAATATTAATTTAAAGGAGATTGGCAACAAAAATTGCTTCATCTATCTTATTGCTTCATCTGAAAGAGCATGAAAAAATAAGCCGATTGGCCGTTTAATGCTCTATTCTATCTCATCTAGTTCCGAAGTTATACGCAAAAATGTGAAAATATAAATTGCTGATTCAGCACAACGTGTGACGTCATTAGCTGGGTAAGTATGTTTATTGAATACTACACTGAAGCATAGCTCAGTTATTATGGGCCCAAATCAAATGAAATTTTGCATACTGATTGTACATGATGAGACGCATGGAAAAACACTTCTAATTTTGTTGCCAAGGTAACAATGTCGTTTCCAGGCCCCTTGCGCCAATTTTATGAAACAGCTTTATTCAAGGTACTGATAAGAATAAAATAATATCAGAAGTATGTGTATGATACCTATGCATGCCAAAAGTTTACTTGCATGATAATAATTCGAAAATGACATACACATAGATAAATGCAACTAGTTATTCAAAATCAGTGTAAGAGGCCTGGGAACGACTGTGTTGCCTTGACAACGAAATTAGAAGTATTTTTCCCATGCATCTCATCATGTACTATCTGTATGCAAAATTTCATTTGATTTGAGCTAATAATAACTCAGCTATGCTTTAGTTTACTATTCAATAAACATACTTACCCAGCTTATGACATCACAGAATGTGCTGAATCAGCAATTTATATTTTGCACATTTTTGCGTATAACTTCGGAACCAGATGAGATAGAATAGAGCAGTAAACGGCCAATCGGCTTATTTTTTCATGCTCCTTCAGATGAAGCAATAAAATCAATAAAAATTTTTGTTGGCAATACCCTTTAAGAGTTCTCTTTACGATTTCTTGTTGCAAATTTACAGTAAATTTCATCACCCAAAGTTGCAATTTTAAAACGCTACAAACACGCTCCTGTTCCACCCCTCTCACAGTTACAATTAAATTTACCTCCCAGAATCTGGGAGGCACGTGACCAGCCGCAGCCAGGGTCTCTCCCAGATGACAGAAGGAGAGACCCTGGGAACGAGGTTGCGACTTACGCTCCGTGGAGCGTCTTGTTTTCTAATAAAGTTACACATATTTTTCTAGTTTAAAGAAAAATTTCCACCGTGTATACATGTAGTCACCTTTAACTGCATGGCCATGGGCCTATTTCACATATTATGCGAAACATAATAAATCTTTATCATATACACTCGACCTTGCTGTTATGGCAATTGCTTGACTTGCTTGCTGATTATTTGTCATATCAACTTTGCAATATCCATGAGATATCTGAGTTCAGTCATTCGGGCTTGAGGTAATGCTATCATTCTCTACTAATTTCGATTACAGTAAATTCATGTGTTTTCAGAAATGTATTTTCACATCATTAGGCAATATACACGTACATGCATGCTCACGTTAATTAAACAAAATTATTGTGGAAAATACACTTTCCCGGCTTGTAATTTTCAAAATTTCGGCTGGGGCAAATCCCTCAGGATGATTCCCGGTTTCGCTGCGAACTACGTCATTCCAACACGTACCAGCCCTCCAATGATAAAATCCCTCTGCGGTCCCTTCCGTTCGACATGTTTATTTGCAGATCACACGGAGCTCTAATTAGCATTTAGTGCGAGTGTTATTCTGGACTAAAATGGGGAGTCTAATTCAAGTGAAAACTTTCGTGTATGTTGTTTCACTTCGAAAATATTTATTCTTAGTCATACTTACATCTTGGAGGAGTTGGATTACTCCATATCCCATTAGACTGACATGTTGTAGAGGAAGCTCCGCTCAGAACTTCGCCGGAATAATAACAATAGAAATACACCACTGATCCTACTGTGTATACACTTCCAGATGCAAACCCGCGTTGTGGACAACCTGGATATCCACATGAAATTTCTGTAAAGAGAAATTAAAGATTTTTCTCATTATACGCACTACTTATATAATCTCGTTTTGGTCAGCTGGAGTACCTGCACATAACAGACTAGTTTTCTACCGGGTGTCGCCGGGTGGCGCTGTTTGATTTAATGTAACGTACAAACAATAAAAGCTATTGCACTCAAATAAGTTTTATTGCATTCAGAAAGGGCTAACTTAGATTTTGATATACAATATTTGAATGTCCGTGCAACATGGATTGAGCTATCGATGTTTTAAATCGAATAAGCATATTTGACAATGTTAAAAATTTGTATAAAATTGCCTATCAAATATTATTTCGTTAAACTTGATATATAGTTTTATTGTGGCCAAAAGAACGAATGAAAAACATAATTGTTAGATAAACAGTTATTCATTAAATCAGAGAAAGTATGTCCGCTTGCACGTATACAATGTCTTGCACGAGAAACCATTAAAACCCAAAATATTGAAAAGCCGAAGGCATATTCGAAGACCAACTTTTATTATAATACGTACTCCCAAAGGACGTCAAATACTGTATGCTTTCGAACGTTTTTAAATGTTTCATGCTTATTTCACTTCCCAAGAAACACAAAAGGCTAACTTAGGCTACTAGGACATTACCCGAAATTAAAGTTAAGTTGAAATGATAAAATTGAAATTGTTAATTTTTGTCGTGGAAAATAACAATTGTTTTCATCTAAATTTGATCAGCCGTGTTTCTCGATTTTTACTCAATTTTAAAGCGTGTGCCAAATTCAAACATTTGTATATCTCACGTAATATTACATGACATTTTTAGGGCTGTATATCAAGATCTAAGTTAGCCTTTCCTCAATACAATAAAACTTATTTGAGTGTAATAACTTTTATAGTTTTTACCTTACATGAAATCAAACAGCGCAAGTTTTTTTTTTGGACACCCGGTACATGTACAGTAGACATGATGTCAGCTGTGCAGAGAATAATCGCAATGCAAAGCAAAGCCAGCTTGTTTATGACGAAGAAAAAGTCACTAGATTAGCTTCGGTAACTAAAGCGATTTCACAAAAATTATCACGAAAAAGAAGCGATACTAAAACGAGCTACAAAAACAGCATTAAGAATTTTTAAATAAGTATCTTGAAGAGAAAAAAGTATAAGTAAACCTCGAGAGAAGAGACTCTTGCCGAACTTCTAAAATAATTCTACTGACACAATTTTGTTTTTTCTGATATACGCGTAATTAAAAAATACTGAATTCGGTTTTCGCAGAAAATGGAGAATAATCATCAAGACAGGGGCTTAGTTATTTGCCGAAGTCTTAGGCTAAGGTAGATGGCGAAGCTTTAAGCTTAGGCAGATTATACAACCGAGTTCATATTACGCTCACCCTATCCAATAATTATTAAATATTGAGCACTGCATGGCCAATTGTCTTGAAATTTGGGTATTAAAATTGCTGCCTAAGGTTGAAATGATAACTAAAGGCTTTACTACCAGGTACAACGTAATCGTGACAGAGTCATGCATGCGCATCTCTCTCTTTTGGACAATTTCCCTGCATAAATTGCTCAAGTAGGCTATAGACTATAGTGAAAAAAGTAGACTTGTCACAAGTCACCCGCTAGGTTAGGGATTGGACTGCGGCGTGAAGCGTGTAAGTGAGAAGCGAGGACTTGTGTCACTCGATCGAATTTAAATCGTATGTATATATATAAACATGTAATATATATTACATATTTTGGCGCGGAAAGCATGCAATTAACATATGTTGCGGGCATTAATCACATCGATTTCACAACTACACCAACGAATAAAACGTTTGCAAAAGTGGATATCTCCCACCCACAATATAAAGAAACAATTTGTAATGAATGCTTATTAGAAATAGAAGATAGTAACTTGAAATACACACATGCAGCAAACCATCGTCTTTGAGTTGCTTCGTGCTCAACAGTTTTCAGCGGCACTGGCAATGACGACCAGAAAGTGCAGAATTGACTTGCAATTTCCAAAATGCAGGTAGGTTATTATGATTTAACTAAGTGGAGTGCAATTTGGTCTGAGATCATACGCGTGATTGCAAAACTTGATATACAATCAACATAATTTTGTTTAATTAAAGGTTTTTTGCCAACATGAATCACAACAATTTAACATGAATCACAACAGTTTTAGATTAGACTTGCACTTGAATCAAATAGAGAACTGTGTATAAAAAACAGGTTTTATAAAATGCAAAAACAATTAAAACAAACTTGTCTCGTATTTTGTGGTTTATCATCAGTCATAAATAATTTCTTTTTTCAGTGTTTGGTGTCCCTCTCTTCCGGGTGTTTTTTTGTCACGTTTTACAGCTCTATTTTGCTTTGGTTTGCAGTTGAACAAACAAAATTATGCCATCTTACTAAATTGAATTTCAAAACTCGCGATATGCTGACGTGATGACACCCTGGTTCCAGAGGTTCTTGTGCGCCGTATTATAAATTACGTAATTTGTACGAAGGAACGGCGAACCTCTGGTGGCCCGCAATGCGAATCACACGTCCATGCTGAGTTGCCGTTTGAGAACATGCAAAAGCGGTTTCATATTTTGTGACGTGTTTAAACTTCCGGGTTTGTCCGACTACCAAAATAGCTCTCTTTGAAGGCCTAATTCGACGACGAGCACAATGCGAAAAATTTCGCACGAAAAGGTTGAACGCATGCGCAACATGATTTTGGAATGTTTCTCCGCGTAATATTTCTCTTCGCCGGGTAGTTAAATTCGTTTCTACTCCGTTGCGAAATCGAAATAGCGAAGCCAATCAAATGCTTGTGTTTTGGATGACAAAATAGCGAAACCAATCAAATGCTTGTGTTTTGGCGAATTTTTTCTCCACTGTGGAAATCACTACGAGAGAAAATTTTCGCACAAGTGTGTTTTAACTTACTGGTTTTCGACTCCCCGCTCGCCAACATTTTTGGGAAAAATAGTGGCCAGAAATAAAAATTTGCTGCAGGACAACATTGGTTTTGGCAGGGCAATTCTGGCAGATACCCCCGAATTAAAAGGGGCTAGTTTCGCCCCTGTTTTCATAATCGTAAAGATCAGGCTTTTGGCTGTTGAATGACATGTTTTTCATCATTAAAGAGAACAATTGAGCAAATTCGAGTGATCCAATAAAATTGCTTGTCGAAATCGCATATAATCACCGCTGCGTCTAATTAAAGCAGTGCATAAGAAAAGGAAAACCAATTACTCACGAATGTGTCATTTTAAGATGAGCTTAGAGCTGGTTTACAAGATGTTTATAATAATTATGCATACGCAGGTATTTTATTGAAGTGAAATTCATCAACAAAGAGAGTTTAATAATTTTCAATAGTTAATTTTCAACGGTGGAAATATGCACTTTCGACAAACAATTTTATCGGACTCGTATTTGCTCAATTTATAGAGGATAAATTAATGATGAAAAAAAAACATGTCATTAAACAGACAAAAGCCTGATCTTTATATGTACTAGTTAAAATATGAGCAGCTGATCTTTATTGAATTTACAATGGCGAGCGCGCAGTGCGAGCCATTGTTAAATGCCCATAAAGATCAGTTGCGAAATAATATTTTAACGTACTTGTAAAATGAATTCATTTGTTTACTTTATTAGTATTCTCTGCCCATGGAGACAATCTCACGCTTCATTAGCATGCTATTAAAACTTAAATTAGTATTGTTAACTTTCATAAACATCCATGCTTCTCAATTAGTATTGTTAACTTTCATAAACATCCCTCTAACACAACTTTCTGATCTTTAAGTAATGTTTACAACATGAGCGGCCGTGTTGTATCAGATATACAAACTCGAGCCGAAGGCGAGTGTTTGTATATCTGATACAACACGGACACGAATGTTGTAAACAACTTAAAAAACGACTCATCTCATGAGTTCATTGGCGAAGTAATTTTAAAAATAAACGTTGTCTAAGCCGAGAAAATCAAAGTTAAAGTTTATGTAAATCAACATGAATCTGTATCACATATACAGATACGACACGCTTATGATTTTTCTTTGTGTTTTCTTCATGAATTATTAATGAGTTTTTTAATGCGGTTTACAAGTGTGCACATGTGACCTAAATACCGTTCGTGATTTTACAAGACTATGAAAAAATTACGTTTATACACCGAGTAATTAACGCACAATGGCATGCTAAAGTTGGATTGCCTTTTTTTGAGACACCTGCATGTATATACATATGTTCGCATCGTCGAAATCTGAGAATATTTTACTCATCTTTGGGTATGTTAAATATTATACCATTTATTACTGTAGTGTTTTACGTACTGTCTCAGGATGCGAAATATGTATGATTTGTTTTGCCTTATTTGAGTCATTCTATGTTCGCATTGAAAACGGAATTAAGCGAAATGATATTATTGTGGGGACACAGCAAATTGGGACACGAAATTCTTAAGATTTCCGTAAACACTAAATTCGCTAGAATATGAGGAGTCTTAATTATAGCTTTGAATGGGTGTTATTCATACAGAATTTAAAAATTTATGATCAACTTTGTAATGTACTTTCCCTATGTTAGTATACATCAAAAGCTGTGGATTCTTGAGATATTTCAAATGACAACACAACATCGATTGTAACGTCTTAATTTCTGCATGTATAACACCATTAAGATAAATCAAACTCTTCATAAAACCAAGGCCGTACCTAGACGCGATAATTCAGTGCATATTCACACATTCATCGGTTCATGTTCACATACCGTAAAAACAATCGCTTTCAAAAGAAATCCGTCGTGCAGAACACGAATTTTATGAATATGCACCCCCACCCCCACGTGTCTAGGTACGGCCCTGCATAACACTCTTAAATATATTTCTGTCCGGAACAAAATATACTCCAAACTAGAAAATACATGCATGCAGAAACCCTCGCCTTGCTGGCAAAACCATTGTATTTTCCGAACATGAAGTATCTAAAGTAGTTGTCATGGTAACACGATAATTTT